TCTTCTTCTTCTTCTTCTTCTTCTTCTTCTTCTTCTTCTTCTTCTTCTTTCTCTCTCATTATCTGCCCCTCCTCAATGCTGTGTTACTTCTCTGGCTCCTACGTGTGCACGTGGAGGTCAGCGAGGGCCGCGGCGATGAGAAAAAAAAGCCTTCCAGCGCTCTGCGTGGGAAACACCGATAAGCGGAAACATAACACGCCGTGGCGTCGTCATCTGTTGAAACTACCGTGTTTTTTTTTGGGACACCTTTGAAACACTGACCGCACCTTTTACTCTCAGATCTGGATCATTACAACTTGCTCAAAGGGTTAGGTCACCCAAATTGCAGAAACGTGGCATAGTTTCTTTTTCTCCCTCCACCCACAACACAAAGGAAGTGAAAGAAATGTCCTCACATTGATATATAATATTAGGTCCTTAAATACAGGGACATGAGTTAATCTGAAAGTATTATTTAGACAAGAGTCAGAGTAAAAACTAAGATTTCTTCCTTAACGAGATATATTCATGAGTTACATTGTTAATTGTTGCATCTAAAACAACGTAATAACACGTATTCCTCCATGAATATCTGATAAAACAAGCTTTTCTTTCATTACAAACTTGCTATTTTCCGACACTTCATTGACGATAAGTTTGAGCCCTAAAACTCTGACTCTCGTCCCACTCGAGTAACCTCAGCTTTTTATAGATTTGATTCCAATCAAAGCCTTTTAAAAGGGAGCATCCGTGTTGCAACCCACAGACTCGTATGTTTAGTACAGTGTGGGTTAAGTTTGGCCTCTTCAAATCCCTCCAGAGATGCCAGCACACTTCTCAGATATCCATCCACATGGCAGATTCGATTGCTTGGCTGGCTGGCTGGCAGAGCTCCGGGCAGAGTGTTGGAGTCAGTTCAGCAGGTCAGATTATAAAGTACCACATTGTGTGTGAGTGTGCGTGTGGATTTAGGGGAAACTCATCCTACACATTATCCAGCGTATACGTTTTTTTCTTCTGTGTCTGTTATCTGAAAGGCTCAGATTCTCCAGACAGACGCTTGTCAGAAGTCTGGCTGCTGAGGGTCTGGCCTGTTTTTCGGGCGTTATTGTCCAGCTTAGGTGGGAGGCAGACAGAAAAAAAGACAGTTTAAAGCTCCACAAGGTGACACCATTGGAGCAGGAGGCCCTCGACCATATGTTGTCTTATCCCCTCCCGTTTTGGAGACACCTTCTCAGTTGCTTTGACCCCCCCCCCAACATCCCCTCCCCCTCGCCGACCACGCTCCCGAGCCGGAGTGACAGCGACGCCTGCTCGGGCTTCTTATCGCAGGATCACCATTTCAAAGGGCACATAATACGTCAGTCTTATCCTCTGCCATAGTCTGCTCTGAGTTATTAAATCTCCCCGTGAATACACGCATCTGGTTTGATATCTAGCGTTGTTATTGTGCCCTCTCTGCATTTTATTACCTTCTTCTTTGTTTGTTTGTGGACGGTCTAAAGATCAAATCTGATACGTGTTTGTGCATGAAGCAATCCACGTTGAGAGGTGACAAACAGTGTGAAATGTGAGCTCATGAAACTCCTAACTTGTATCCTTCAGCCGTCCTCTCCAACATTTACTCGTTCTGTTACAGAGTGTGGCAGGCGGTTTTTCTGCTCCCATTTGAAAGGAGGACATTGTTGGTGGTTAAACATGTGGGTCTGTTAAGTCATGGCTCTGCTGAAAATCAAGGTTTAGATGTTTTTATTTTTAATAATAGAGAGGTGGTAGAAGAAGAAGAATAGACTCTCAGTATCTTTCATGGTTTAAAATGTCTAATGTGACAAACTGTCCTTTGTAGAATATTTATAGTTTGATCTTAGAAACTGTCAATGATTGTCACATTTTTGGATCAATTTGTGCTCATAATACATTTCAGTGGTGGAGTATTTACTCCAGCAGTGTATTTTAGTTTAGTTTTGAGGTACTTGTACTAAAGATTTTACACTTATATTCTTTCATACTTCAGAGGGAAATACTTTTTACTCCACTACATTTATCTGGAAGCTTTAGTCACCTTGCAAATCAAGATTTTATATCCAACCCCTGCAATGATTCTATGAAATATGATTCGTTGTTTTAGATTAAACCCTGCAACCGTCTGGGCCGCATTAACCTGCCAGGCGGCCCCGGGGCAAAGGTAAACCACGGGGGCCCCTAATGAGACCCCCCACCCTCCCTATTTCCCATGGGTTCCCCAATATAGCTTTGTTATAATTAAATTAAATTCAAAATTATGCAAAAACAGGGAGCATGTAAGCATAATATCAACTAGCTTTATGCTACATTTTCGTGGCGACGTTTGGGAACAGGACGGCGTAAAGCGTCAGAGCGTCTTTAGCTTCAGTAATGTGACTGATTTCAATGATTTTGCTTTTACTCTAAGTAAAGGACAGTTCTTCACACACACACACACGCACAGTAGGTCTGTGCTCTTGTTCAAAGGAGTCAAAGGCCTTCTTTCTATCAGGCGAACCCCAATCTGGTCTGAGACAATAAAGTGAGGCAGCTGTTGTGTCATGGGAGTGACAAGCGCAGGTGAGAGTTCCCCAGTTGTTCCCAGGCGTCAAGTCGGGAGTGTGAAGCTGTGGGCTCTGACACTGTGAGCATTGTTTAGGGGGAGTGTGTGTGTGTGTGTGTGTGTGTGTGTGTGTGTGTGTGTGTGTGTGTGTGAGAGAAAAAAAACTTAATTAGTGTATTTATCCGTCAAACCAGCTCTAGTATCCATTTTTCAGATGTATTTCACATTACTGTCGGATCGGTTTCACTGTCTCTTTTAGGCTCTCAGAAGTTGCCTGAAGTCCATGCAAACAAATCCCTCATTGGGTCGCACGTCTTTCAGATCTTTACTACACACTTTCTCTCATGTTTGCTGCCCCACATGGAAAAGATTCAAAAACACAGATATCTCGTAAATTGACGTCACAGATTTGCTTAGTGTGTGTGTTCATGTTTACCAACTTGGCTGCTGTTTGCTCGGAGTAATGTTACCAAACGTTACGAAAGTCAGGAGACTCTCCAGTTTCAATAGAACGAGAGCAGACGGCAGGATTTCATTTGAAATGGGAGGAATGAGGTCTGGATCAGGATGCGACACTCTTTGTTGCAGCTTCACTTCGTCAGATGAGACGAGTTTGTTTACAAAAAGCTTCTCCTCAGTCAACCACGATCCATCAGCAGGAAATGCGTAAAAAATGTGCTATTGATCTCATGTTTTCTTTGTTATATTTTTAGAAGCACTAATTTACAATTGTAATAAATCGGAGTACACAGCGGAGGATGTTGTCTACATATATGTGACCCGTCTTCTCTCCTGCTTCCTCCCCCCTTAGCGTCCTGGCATGCCGTCTGGAGCGAGGATGCCCCACCAGGGAGCTCCCATGGGCCCCCCCGGCCCACCGTACGGAGGGAGCCCGGCGGTGCGGCCCGGCCTGCCCTCAACCGTGATGGAGCCCAGTCGTAAGAGGCCCGCCCCCTCCCAGCAGGTCCAGCAGCAGCAGCAACAGCAGCAGGGCGTCCAGAGCCGGGCCAGAAAGTGAGTCCTGTCGACCCCCCAAAACTCCGACCTAAACGCTGCACGACTTGTTTGTAGAGCTCCTTTGTTTGTCTGCTTTTGTGTGGAGGGATTGAGATGGTGAAGAGGCTGTGGTTGCTCTTTGAACTTCACCAGTCGGGGCTTAGATCTTCAAAAAACCCAAACATGGAGATGGTCATGAATCACGTAGTAAGAGCTGGGCATCGAAACCACAATATCTTTCAGCACCAACCAAAATGAGTATGAACCTAAAACTGAACCGATACTAAACGCTGGTATGAAACTTTTTTTAGCAGATTCGTGGTGGGCTTTATTTATTTTCTCGCAATTTAGCTCATTTTAGACTTTATGTCATTCAGGCAAATGTGCACACAGCTGCTTGTGCTAAGACGTCATGAAACAGAATGCACTTTAGAAGTTTGTTTATTGATAGAAAAGGGTTTGAGAGAAAAATACAAAGTATTTTAATGGTCCAGAGTCTTAGGTATCGTACTGGCACCAGTATCAGAAGATTTCTTCTTGGTTATTTTACAATAGTGCTAAAATGATGAGTAGGTTAATCAAACAACTGTTTTTATAATTGAGTCATATATGTGATCTGTAAAGTAACAAGAGTCTGCAGCCTAAATGCTAGTGTCAGCTTGCTAACATGCTGTAATTAGCACCAAACAGAAAGTAAAGCTGAGGCGGACAGGAGTGTCATTAGTTTCACAGATAATAGACAAGTTATTACAATTCATCATGAATCTTTCAACACAAGTTCATGGTAATGCATTTAAAAGCTGTCGAGGTATTTCAGTCCGGACCAAAGTAGAGGACCCCAGCGCCACCATGTCATTAGCAAGGCTAATAAAAGAAAAGCGAAATAGATTTCCTGCTGTTGTCTGTTTTCTATCATCGTAAATTAGCTTTTAGACCATTAATCAGACAAAACCAATGGAAGTTATGATATTAAAAATATATATTTTCATTGAAGGATTGTGGATTAATAAGAGGAGAGCTAATGAAATCGATCATAACTTGCAGCCCTACAGTACAAGACACCCACAGCCAATTCCATACTGTGATCTCCGAGAATCCGAGAAGTGAAACCATGACCTTTGTGTGTCTCTGTTCAGCTTTCATTTCAATTTTAATTTTTGACTCTCTCCCACTGCTCCTTGTTTAGGATGCACCCTTTGCCCTGCTCGCTGCTCTTTGCATCCTCTCCTCACCATTCAGAACACAACTGTGACTGAATGTCTCTCCTCCGTTCACTCTTTGTGTCTCTTCGTTGTCTGGTTTTCCCCGCGGTCTCATCTATGCGGTGTCCATACTGCTGTCTGCAGGCGTTCAGACTCTACTTCTATCAGTACGATCTATTGTCTGCTGTTTGACAAAGGATCTGATCATCAGTATCCAGACACACACACACACACACACGTACACACAGTGGATGGATGTCTGTTAGGAGACGAGTGTGTGGCAGGTATGGTCATTAGAAAGGAGATCAATATGCGCACTCAGTGGACCTCTGTCTCTCTCGCTTTCATTCTCTCAGTATCTGCAGTACGATTGATCCACTTACAATTAAGCGGGCTTGTCGAACAGGTCGGGGGAAATGTTCTCCCACGTCGGGGGCCTCAACCCCCAGAGCGGCCCTGCTGGCTGCGGAGGGTCTGATCGATGGACCAGGGTGACCCGTCCAGGTGTCTCTCTAGAGAGAAGTGCGCGTGTCCTCTGGCAAACAAAGTTGATGCTCCGGCTCTCCAAACTCGCTATAACTCCGTCCAGCTCAGACCCCACGACGCTGCCAGCTGGGGGGCCGGACCACCTGTGTTTGTCATTGAGACCTCGTGGCCCCAGCGACTTTCGCTCTGCAGAACAAACGCTGTCCTGCGCAGGGCTGCTGCTATAAATAGGATTTAATTCCAGGTTTGCTTTGCATAAAGTGCTGTGAATACTCAACCTTGTGTCAGAGGAATTACGTTTATATGCTACTAATTTGTTTCCCCAAAATACCGAAACACTTTGTGTGCCCAGGACTGTGACGCCAGTGTGCTTAAGCGACTTGCAATGACGTAAAAGTGTAGATTGCAATGTAGAGGCTTTTATTTCTGCGGTGTGTCTCGTAGCAGGAAGTACTCAGGACAGATGGTCTTAAAAAGCGTGTTAAAGCAAAGACATCTGTGTGTCCTGGGCAAAACTTTTCCATTGCAGTTTATATTACTCATTTGGAAAGTTGATGCCATGTGGAGTAAAATCTACTTGTGCCTTTTTAGTAGCTTTTTCTCATCATATTTTTGTACAACATAAATTGTGGATTGTTTTTATGCAAATCAGTTGCTTATTATTGTAGTTGTTATGTTTCATTATGGAGCGTCTTTGTATCACAAAGGCGGATGGTAAAAAACATCTTTAATTGCATGAAAATGAGTTAAAAACTGTGGACTTCTTCCACAAAAATGCCGTGCAATTTCACACTTTTAAGAGTCGACTTGTTTCAGTTTCCTCGTCTGGATGAGAAGGTTCATTACAACGAGTGTAACCAAACCCAGCAGGGATGTCAAAGTGCACTGACTCACGAGAAATGTAAGCACCGGAGTGATTTTTAGCTGGTGTTAAGTTACTCTGGAACGATCTGCTCTTTTGTTTTTGAGAAATCCAATTTCACCCATTTCCTCCATTAGATTGGTTCACATGTTGGGGACTTTCAGATGAACATAAACCTTGGTTTTTATTGTAAAACCGTTCCTAGCTGCTCAAGACGTTTGATATCAGACTCTTAGGGCTGCTTAGGAACTTCGCTGGTTTCACTCGACAATTAAACAGGTTTCTTGTTGCTAGGCCAGATATTTTAAGGTGCTTCGAAATGAGCGAAAAAGGTGTGAGCAGCATGCACGTTGTCGTCATTCCGCACATCACTTCATCTATGCAACATCCATATTTGCCATCCAGAGCCGAACGATAGAGCTGAACCTCCTGTTTTGCTCCTCTTTCCTGTGACACACACAAGTTCCCGGTGTGTCCGTCTGTCTGTGTGTTGTCTGTCTGCGTGTGTGAAGCATGATTGTTTTGGTTCACAGAGAGACTTTGTTGAATGAGCGTGTCCCTCAGATGAGCGGGGACGCCTCCCAGCACCTCCTCTGCTGCACTCTGTGCGTGCATGGACGCAGACACACGCCTATCCCAGTGCCTGCCCTTATCTGGGTTTATTAAGAGTTTGCACCCACTAACAAACCCTTTACCACACATCCTACACATACAGACACTCAAACAGCCAGAACCACCAGGTGTGTCCCCCCCCCCCTCCCTCCTCCCTCCTCTGACATCGTACTTGAGTGTGTGTCTCGCCACAACTCTAATCGGACAACCTTCGAATCCTCACCAATCCTTAGGAAGCCAGTCGGATTCCCCGGAGCCAATGAGATCCCGGCGAGGCAGATGGACATGAGAGAGCCCCAATCAGATCCCACGCTCGGATCAAAGTAGGAGCTTGTTCTGCTGCATGTCCATTTTCTTAACGTTTTGATGACTCCTAGCCTTTCGCCCGAGCCCAGCACTCCCTGAATGAGTTCCTTTGGCCAACCGTACGGTTCAGGCCGGGAAGTTGAGTCCCTAAAATGTAGTGGTGCATGCTTTGGACTGGAGCATGGCATGATGGGAACCGTTTGTTTCAGCCAGAACAGAAACGTAAATTAGAATCCAATCTAAAAAAACCTTTTATAAATAGTTGAAAATGGCGGGTTGTTGTGATGCAGATGTGTGTTTTCCTTTGCAATGCATCCCCGGATCTTTCGAGCGTCCTTGCAGCAGGCTTGTTTCAGTATTTGGCATGCTGATGTAACACACTGCCGCACAGACCGGTGCAGTGCTCTGTGATAGAAAATTCCTCTACACTGCAAAAAAAATCCCCTTCTACAAACAAGAACAAATATTACGTGATCTAAAGAAAATGAGTTAAAAAAAAAAATGTCTACCAATATGATGATATATACCATATAAACCAAGGTTTCTCTGTGTTATTGATAACGTTGTATATATGTCCCTGCTGCCGCTCTATTAGGTCATTATGTAAACAAACATGCACCTTCATTTTTCTGGTACCTTGGATTAACCAAAAGCAGACATTTCCATTTATTTTAACTTTAATAACAATATCTATTGATAATGCAACATAAAATGACCAATTCTGATGATATCCATATCGCCCACACCTAGTATTGCAAAAGATTTTGCACTAGCATAAACACCTCACCAATGTCACTGCGAAAGTCCATCTAAACTAAACTAAATTTGTTGCAGAGAGCGAGATGAGGAGATGCACTTTTGTGCCTGTATGCTAAATATGCAGCCAGTTAGCCTAGCTTAGCGCAAATACTGGAAACAGGTGGAAACAGCTAGCCAGGCTCTGTTTGAAGGAAACGCTAAAGATCACTGATTAACGCGTTGTATCTTGTTTTAAATCTGTACAACAAATGACGAGTTGTGTTATTTTTACACTTCAGTTTTTGTACAGTCTAAACAAAGACGATCCATCCATCCATTGTCTGATAGATAATCCCTCCAGCTCTACCCCAGGTCCTCTTACTAGTTGGCGTCCAGGAGGCATCCTGATCAGATGATTGGCCCCTTTCGATGCGATAGAGTAACATCTCTCCTCCGAGCTCCTCTGGATATCTGAGCTCCTCGTTCATTCAGTCCAGACACCTTACGGAGGAAGCTCATTTCCAGCCGCTTGTATCCGCAATCTCTACCTTTGGTCATGAGCTTTGAGTGGTGACAGAAAGGATAAGGGTCGGAACGTGGATGGACTGGTAAATCAAGAGCTTTACTTCATGCTCAGCTAAGCTAGCCACCTGCTGGCTGTTGGCTTATATTTAGTGGACAGATACAAGAGTGGTATCAATCTCCTCATCTTAATATAAGACTTGATATCGGCAGTGACACTTGGCAAATTCACAATCAAAGTGCTTAAAAGTAGACTGTACTTTAATTTAGCACCATCTAAGAGGTAATATCCTAAAACGCTACTACAGAGAAGAACCCGACGTCTTTGAAATAAACACAAATCAACCTAAAATAAATTATTCCGACTTTTTTTAAATTGCTCTTTTTGCAGTGTAGTGCCATCCAGGTGTTTTATAGGCAGTGTCCTTCTGCAGGCACCAACATCAGAACACTTGCATGAATTTACAAGGGCGCTCCACGTGTCACAGGTGTCCACAGATCGAACATTTAAGGGCATTTTTGTAATCGGTGTCACCGAGTAAGAAAGTTCTGATGAAGGCACAACGTTGGCACAGATTGTCTCATTGTCCTTAGTTCCTCCGCGGTAAGTATGAGATGATAATAACAAAAAAAAAACAGGATTTGAAATGTTGTTCTCACACAGCAGAAACATTCATGAATGAAAACATCTACCTGCACACACATGCATTCTCCGCCGAGAAAATCATTCCTAAAAGCTCTTGAACACACATCCCGTCACCATCCGAGAATCTGCAGAGTGTGTGTGTGTGTGTGTGTGCGTGTGCAATGAATACATGTCAGGCAAGAGGTGCGTGATGTGACACTTTCTTGGCTGTTAGAGGCTCTCGTTCTCCAGGTGGACCGCTGCATTTCAGATACCACACACACACACACACACACAGCTGGGATGCTGGGGTGCTGGATATGGCCCAGCATTTTAGCAGATGGCCTGGGTGCTACGCTATCAGTCACCATAGTAACATGCTCTCTTTTTCCTCTTTCCCTCTGTCTTTCTCTCCCTCTCTCTAGTGCTAAGAGAAGGAAAATGGCAGACAAGATTCTTCCGCAAAGGGTGAGGCTGCATCTTTTTTACCTTTGTTGCTGTGTGTTTTTGTTGTTAATGTCTGTGCGTGTGTGTTATTATCTTTTGTGTGAAGAAAAGGGAAAAAGATAAATCATGGTCGGTTCTTGGAAGGCGCAGAGGGCCAGATGATTATGTGTTATGTCCAAATGAGGAGAGAGCGGATGAGGGCAGCGATCAGGAGGTTTTAGGGAAAACATTGTTTTAGGGTTTTTTTCTGTTGTTTGGATGGTGGCTCATTGATTTCAATTGGAGCAGTCAGCGGGATATGGCAAAGACAACCACAAGTAGAACCGAAAGAGAATTGCCACAGGTGAGTCTTAGCCGATAGAGGTTGTGATTTTCATCCCGTGGTCTCAGTTTTTCGGGCCCCGTGCCACGCCATCACCTCACCACGTCCCGGCCAGCACACAGAGGGCTCTCACACTGAAACTATGGAGGTCTGGAGCCCGTGAGCGTCTTGGCTCAGGTCTTATCCCCCTAACATAACCCAGACAGAGAGATAGCAGTAGGCATGGCCGGCGCGCCACTCCACAATAATGAGTCAGGGACGGGGAATGTCTGCCACACTCCTCCGTCTGCTCGGCACCTCGGCCCGGTGAAAGACAGTGAGATGGAGATAAAGAAGGAATGGGAGGGAACAATGGAGGCAGCCATTTAGAGAGAAACATGAAAGAGAGAAGTAGAGGGAGGGAAGAGAAGGAGAGAGTGTGTGTGTGTGTGTGTGCGCACAGTTTGGTAAGTAAGCAGCAGCAGCCCTTGATGCTTCGAGGACTTTCATCGGTATGGTAATGTCTGAGTCCCGGCTGGTTGGCTGCACACTCTGCATCTCATTTTTTATCCCCCAGTGTCCCCAGGACGGTGTGGACCACCGTATGAACGGCAGGCTGGGCAGCAGTTTTTGGAGGAAAATAAGTCTTATACATAGAGCAAATATTGCACACAGTTAATTATTCTCCATATACTGTAATCATTTGAATATTGGTAATCTGATGAGCTCTATTTGGGATGACAGGGTATTAAGTCCTTAGTCTTCTCAAGCCTGTTTGGTGTCACAGGTGTATCCAGGTTTTTTGCATGCAACGGCATACAACATAAGTCCCTGGCTGAAGGCAAATCAGGGCCATTACAGCTCACGGTCCGCATCTTAAACCCCCACTAACCTAGCGGTGGGTCAGTCAGCAAAAACTCATTCTGTGCAGCCAAACTTTGTTCAAACCCTCCGAACTGTATTTAAAATATAGTGGAGATCCTAAACATCCAAAAAGAAAATATGTTGGTCTGAATTTCTGGGAAATGGGTATAAAATGGTGTGCAAGAAATCAAGAACATTTCCATTTGACACTGAGTCTTGGGTTTGATTGTTTCACCCAGTCTCAATGGAGAAGCTGGCAAGTTGATACAGAATATGTATGTGATACTGTCAGACAGACAGTAAGATAGCATTAACATTAAAGGTTCTTAAAGAAGAAATTAGAGGATTAGATTTGAGATTTTAGGAACTTCGCCTATTAGCTTCCTTGCAAAGTTAGATGAGAAAATCTCATAGACGTCTATAGGATCTGACTACTTTATGCAACCACGAGTCGCCCCCTGCTGGCTATAAGAAAGAATGCAAGTTTAAGGAACTTCCTTATTGGCAGAACCAGAGGTTGCCGCCAGGATTAACAAACATAAATAACATTGAATTATTTCTTGAGCTTTAGAGGTGCTGGTAGGTGGATTTTGTTTCTTTTACACAGAGCCAGCCTCGCTGTGTCCCTCTATTTTCGTGTCTTTTTGCTAAATGAAGCTAACCGGCGGCTACTATTAGCTTCCTATTTACTGTATTTACTGTGGTGTCGATCTTCTCATTTTAGGATAACTCTCGGCAAGAAAGCGAATAAGAATTTTCACAAAGCGTTGAACTCATGCTTTCCTGTTATTCTGTATAAATGATACCATTCCTTGAAACGATATGTTATGGGGCTAAATGTCCTTCAAACAAGTCCTTGGAGACAGGGCAGACAGCTAATCTGTTTAAGCCTTTTAGTGATATTCAGATAGCGTATGTGAAGAAAGTCTTCTTAATCTGATGTGTGTGAGATCTAAAGATTTTAACGTCAGACTGTCTCTCCTCTGAGTAGATCCGTGAGCTGGTCCCAGAGTCTCAGGCCTACATGGATCTTCTGGCGTTCGAGCGCAAACTGGATCAGACCATCATGCGCAAACGTGTGGACATCCAGGAAGCACTGAAGAGACCAATGAAGGTAAGGGGAAAAATCAGGAGCCAGGGAGACCTGCTGTCCTTCAAGTGTCAGTCTAATTAATATCATATTTGCACCTAAACAGGTATTGAAAGGTCGCCAAATAGTTAATAACTTTATTTTTCACCGCATCTTTGAAGACAGAAAGCATCTTTTTTCCAGACTAAAGACTCATCCAGAGTTGTATTTATTAATTAATTTCTTTTTTAATTCATTTATTTATTCCGAACTTAATCGGTGTGCATTAGTCTCTTCATCTTCATCTTCTCTCCTTTTTTATCTTGTTTTCATCTTTTCAATCATTTGCAAAGCACCTTGAATTGCATTTGATTTCTTTTGAAAGGTGCCATATTAATAAAACTCGATTAGATTTCTCTTGTCGCATCAAAACACATTTTTGATCTGCCGTTACGTCGAGCTAATCGGATCCAGATGGGCCGCCTGCACCGTGACCGTTCAACTGAAGACTTGGTGAAACGTCCGTTTAATTTGTGGTGTTGTTATGTGCCCTTGTGTCAGCAGCAGAAGCGTAAACTGAGGCTCTACATCTCCAACACCTTCAACCCGGCCAGACCCGACGCCGATGACTCAGATGGCAGCATTGCATCGTGGGAACTGCGAGTAGAGGGGAAGCTGATAGACGATGTGAGTTTTGTTCCTCTAAAATACACAGTGTCTATTTTATTTATTGTTTCATACTTATGATATTTAAAAATTGATATAACTGAGATCATAATCTCCCCATATAGCATGAACGCGTGCTGCTCTGGGTCTTTTTGGGCCGGCAGTCAGTAATGATGTGCTCAAACGAATTTGGACAGAAAAGTATCGTCTGGCTCGGAATATAAAAATGAATGACTGCTGTTGTGAAGAGTGTTTAGAGAGACTGTAGATGCAGCTTGAAAAGCAGAAGGATTTTTTAGCGTCCCTTGAAAAAAGCTCTGATGTTCTTAGCAGGGCAAGCAGCAAAGACGTCATCTCACAGCGGTAGGAAGCATTTAGGTTTCTCAAACCTCAAATATTTCTGGAGGAAATGGACCCTGAGAATAGTGTCTAGTGTCTAGTGTCTAGTGTCTCGCTTTCCATGCTGATCTCACTCAGCCCATTGTGCGTTTTTTGATGACTGCTACGAGCGAACACACGGCGGCTAATGTTTGCTGTTGCATTTGTGCTTCCGATTCACACATTCGTTAACCACAAGCCCTCTCTGTCCGTTTCACAGCCGGGGAAGCAGAAGAAGAAGTTCTCTTCGTTTTTTAAGAGCCTGGTGATCGAGCTGGACAAAGACCTCTACGGTCCTGACAACCACCTGGTTGAGGTTAGTTCAAACATGGCCGCTGCATCTTGACCACAGAGGAAGAGGCTCGTTTTAGAATGACCTTTTACCTGCTCTGACAAAATGATTGCAGACTTTCAAGTGTTCACGATGATGATCATCGGTTTTGAAATGAATGAGCTTCAAATATCAGTATTTGAATCAGTAGAGGTAGCACTACATGGCTCTGGCTCTCATTTCTTTGTATTTGGATTCTTCTTGCTCTTTTCTACTCGTTCATACTCTCAGAATGTTACACATCTTTCATACATTCTGGGTATTATTTAACTTTTAAATCCCTTTAAAACTTTATTTGAAGCTCAGTAAGAAATCAGATTTTTTTTATTGTTTGGATTGTTCAGAGTTAAAGTGAGTCAAGTCAACGTTAGAGTGGAGAGAAGCTTTAATATCTTCCTTAAAAAATGATCTTAAAGTTACTCTCATTCCCACAATTTTCACATTTCATACATACTTTTAGCTTCAAAACGTAGAAAGCCTCAAAAATGAAGCTACAGCCAGAAAACTGTTGATGATCGTAAAAAGGCAAAAGGAATTTTTATACTTTGCCTTTTTTTTTTTTTTTTTTTGATTAAACAAACAAAATACAACATGCTAATCAGTGACCTTTACAGGTGCTGGTAGGTGGAGTGATATCACAGGTGGAGCTAATTACATTAACGATGGCTCACTTGCATTTCACAGCTGTAGTTTTTAATACGCTGCATGATGAGACCTTCTCTTAAAGCACATGTTTTTATCATCTAATTGGCTTATTTTTCCCCGCTTAAGTGTTTGGTTTTATCTCTTCAACATTCTGGACAACTTGCTTGTCACTTCATAGCTAAAAGCTTCAATTTGATAGTTCACATCCATTAGTATTATAGCTTTTGTACATCCAAATTCGGTGAATCAGACTCTGTTCAGCCATGCAGTGAGGGTCGGTGACGGTTTTTCACTAAAGATTGTTATTTTGTGACGTCTGGTTAAGTCTCCAGCTACACTCACCCCAACTAACCTGCTCCTTTTTTTTTACCACCCTCTTTGAATTCATACAAAATCAAACAGACAGAGCGAGTGGAATGCCCTCTCTCTTCTTTTTAACAATTAGATTTTCTAAAACAACAGAAAGGACAGACTTTTTTTTTCCCCCAAACTGTGCAAGGTTGTTTTTTTAACATGCAGGTGTTAGAGCTGCAGAAAACAAGTGCTTACTAATTAAACACAATCATTAGCTGCCCTTCACGTTGTATCCTCACTAAATGTATTGATTTCGGAAAAAAAATAAAAAGCTTTAGAAATTTCGAAAGCGAAAAATTATGACTTCTCAAGGTTCCTCCTTTAAAGAGGGTATTTTGGCAAAGGCACTCAGGTGCATCGCTTTCAATGATTTTCCATCAAAAGAATTTCTTTCTCTACCTTGAGGTAAAATCAGTACTTCTGAATCCGCCATTGGTTGGAGGAAGACATTACTCTGTATTGCATGCCAAGTTGCTGCAATCCGCTGTACTGAAGACGGAGCTTAAAGTGCTTTTCCTTTCAGTTTCTAGATAAAATGGAGACGTTAAAAAGCATTTCTTCTGCGGTTATATACAGAGGAGGTTCCGATATACGTAAACACAAAGACTAAAACACAGAATAATTTGGAAATAGTTAGTTTAATTGAGTTTTTCTGTTTCACTTCAATTCTGCGCTGACGGTGTGATCCTGGGTGTGATAACATTCAGCTTCACAGCCACATGGTTAACCTCTTGCTATCTTGGTTTCTCAGCACACTGTGCATGGCTAGTTTGCAGATATTTAACCTCTCGCCGAACCACAGGCTCCATGCTGTAGGTCAAGATCAAGGCTGCTGGATGCAGGTGCACTCAATGACTTCTTTTGTACATTTGTTCAACGGCCAAATCTCCTGCAGCTTCATTAAAGCCCCTGAAAAACATTCACATCTTGAAGTAATTCTCTGTAACATTAAATATAAATCAACAATTAAAGATAAAGTTCAAGAAGTATTCTTTTTTAAGAGTTCTACACTCAATAAGGCTAACGCTAAAGCTCACAATGACAATGCTAACACTCTGGTGTTTAGCATGTTCACCATCTTAGTTCAGGGGGGTTAGCATGCTAACGTTTGCTAATGAGCGCTAAACACAAAGTCAAGTTTTTGTAGGTATTTGGTCGTAAAGCAAAGTATTGAACAAATTTAAAATGCGCATGGTTATGTATAAGTATATGCTTGTATACATTGTCCGTGTACAGTCAATACAACGTGCAGGATTTGTATTGGACGATGATGGATGATATGCACATGTTAAAGCACAGTGTGTGTTTTAAACTGTAAAATATATCATCCATAATTTCTAGGTATGTGTATGTTTGTTTCACACTTTCAAATGAAGCGTGAAACCAACAGGAAATGAAGTGTGATACTATATAAAAAAGACAATTCAGTCTGAATAAACCACCTCAGTTTGGGGTGTGTAGTCACTCTGCGGCGGTTTGCTCTTTCAGTGGCACCGCACGCCCACCACTCAGGAGACGGACGGCTTCCAGGTGAAGAGGCCGGGCGACGTGAGCGTGCGCTGCACTCTGCTGCTGATGCTGGACTACCAGGTGAGGGCGCCGCACAGTTAATACATCAGACCGTTGTGGTGACAACCCGCAGGCTTCACATCGCTGATAAACCACCAGAAACATTACAGAGTGCATTGGAGACTCCATTTTGAACCTGACATCTGTCTCCAAGCCCGGGGAAAATACGATAAGGATGCCAGATGCGATGATGTAAAGGCTCCGAGGTGGGCGGTCGTACAAAAAGAAAGTGTTGTAATGCGATCATGTCGTCTCCGCAGCCTCCCCAGTTTAAGCTGGACCCTCGCTTGGCTCGCCTGCTTGGCATTCACACCCAGACTCGCTCCTGCATCATCCAGGCCCTCTGGCAGTACGTCAAGACCAACAAGCTGCAGGACTCCCATGACAAGGAGTACATCAACTGTGACAAGTACTTCCAACAGGTACGGGACTCTGTGTGTGTGTGTGTGTGTGCTATAAATCACGCTGTTGTTGCATAAATATTAATATCCGTGTTGCTGAAAATCTGCTATTCCTGCGACAATGCGAGTAAAAACATCTATCTTGCAATACTGACCGCTGTAATTTCCAAATTATACACGATACAAACTCCATTTGAACAAATTAGTCTTCTACAATACAAGTAAAATCAGCCAGTGAGCTCTTTTATTCTACACTTTTTAAATATATATTTTAACTCTAAAGGAAAACTCTGTCTTTATGCCTCCACTTTTGTTTTAGCGAAATCAATTATCCTAGCCGTACATATTAATACGCCCCATGATAAATGTGTTTTGGCACTGTGTGTATTATTAACAGACTCTTTCCCTCCTCTGCAGATCTTTGACTGCCCTCGGCTGAAGTTCTCTGAGATCCCTCAGCGCCTCACCAACCTCCTCCTACCCCCCGACCCCATCGTCATCAACCACGTCATCAGGTAAACTATTATTTAACCCACAAACAACAACATAAGACAAGTATGAGGATGTCCATGTATACGTTTTTCAATGCGAAGTGGTGCCATGATGTATTTATCTTTGTCTGACTTATGTTTGTCGCTCTTGTAGAAAAAAGGAAAAGACGTATCTAATTAGGGAACATGGATTCAGCCTCTTTGCAGGCATCATGACATGCTTTAAAGGATTTGTTGAAATATTTCTCTCTATGTTCCGTAATTCTTATCTCCTGTACAAATGAACGTTTGCTCTCCGCCAGCGTGGATCCCAACGACCAGAAGAAGACGGCCTGCTACGACATCGACGTGGAGGTGGAGGATCCCCTGAAGGGCCAGATGAGCAGCTTCCTCCTCTCCACCGCCAACCAGCAGGAGATCGCCTCACTGGACAACAAGGTGATATCACCAGCATCACAGAAGGAAAGCTTTGGATTGATTCACCTTTCATGTTGTAAATTGTAAATGTTCCACATGGGAACAAGTAACTCTACTTTTAACAGGAGCTGTTGTTTTATGGTAGTTTGCTTGCACAGGGTGATAGTAGATCAATGTTTTGCCAGTTTATTACCATTTTAAAAGAGCAATATCTTATCGGGGCCATTGAAGGTAAAAAAAGAAACGAAACCAGGAGAGGGTAGTAATACTCAAAGAAGGATTTAAGTTGTAAATATCAGAGAACTCTGAGATTATGACGTCATACATTTGCAAGAAAGAACTCACACATTTCTGAGAACTGTCACAGTAATGTCTGCTGATTCTGGTAGTTTGATTATTTCCTTGTTGATCCAACTTTGCAAAGTGAAGCGATGCGGTTCCTTAATAAGAGAACACTCTTTCTACCAGTTCATTTTCTCTTAAACGTGTGAGTTATTTCAAAGAGAATATCAGAGTTTTTTTCTCTCAAGTTAACGACTAAAATCTCGTAAATTCAAACTTTTTTTCACTTCAAATATTACCGTTCTCCTCTGGCTCGGTAATTAATTCATTATTATTTTTGTGCCTACAATGGCCCTGATACGCCGGCTTAGAGATAAATCTGTTTCTATGTGATCCATTCTTTTTGAGAAGATCAACATACTTTAGACACAGTTTCATTTTGTAGAACTGAACTGTTGATGTGAGCCGGTTTGGAGAACTTTTCTTCTGTTGCCCCTGATGTTTATATCTATAAACATTGTTATGTACTGAGTAAATATGTGTTTCCTATTTTTAAATGTTTGGAGATTTGATTCTGAGACTTAAACACAGAATCAGTTTTACTAGATTTAGTATAATTTTTGATATTTTTATTATCAGGATGCAGAGTTTATTTAGTTAAATGCTAAATAAATAAAGAACATTTTCTTGATGTACTGTAACTGTTTCTCTTTCAGATCCATGAGACCATCGAGTCCATCAACCAGCTGAAGATCCAGAGGGACTTCATGCTCAGTTTCTCCAGAGATCCCAAGGGCTACATCCAGGACTGGCTCAAATCCCAGAGCCGAGATCTTAAGGTTTGATATTCATACACACACACACACACACACACTCATGCCTTTTCTTTTGTAATTTAAAGTTCCATTGAAACAACTCGCTGCGTTTATTTGGACATATGTTCGGGGGGGGGGTAATAAAATGCAGGAAGTCACTTTGAATATCAAAACATACAAATGATGTTCTCAGTTTATGAAATATGATGCATTATAGATTCAATATATATTGATTGTAGATTAAACCACTCAATTGTATATAAATTGGTAGAATATATATTTGAATTTTCACCAGCTACAACTAAAAACTACGACTAAATAATACATAATAATATAATGTCACACTGAGGGGTCATTATGTCGCCTCATGACAACTTTAACTTTGATACTTTGAATATTTCTGTTTCTGTGATTTTGACCTGCAGTGGACTGACTGTGGTGTTGCCATGTTTACTTCCTGTCACATATAATATTAATGTTGGTTATTATTTGGTCCTGTCATTAATGGTTTCCTTCTCGCTGGCTGCAGTTAATGACAGACGTAGTCGGGAATCCTGAAGAGGAGAGGAGGGCGGAGTTTTACCACGAGCCCTGGTCCCAGGAGGCCGTCAGCCGCTATTTCTACTGCAAGGTGAGGAAACGTCTTTTACACTCACTTTCACAACAACTTCCCAGCTCGGCCTCCAGATGCTCAGGCGACGCATTTCTCCTTTCTCCTCCTTTCCTCCTTTCCTCTGCAGATCCAGCAGAGGAGACAGGAGCTGGAGCAGGCCTTGGCTGTCCGCAACACCTAAATCCAGGCCCTCCTGAATCTCTGCGTGAGTGTGTGTATATGCGTGTGAGGCCATCGCTGTAGTCCGGTGAAGCCTCTAAAAATGGCGGCGACCTAAAAAAAAAACAAATAATAATAATAATAATCTTTTGTCAAAGTGATAAAAGAAAATGCAAAAATGTGAAGTTTAGAGGAAGAGCGATGTTCACGTATGGAAGCCCAGATCTCGATGCACACGTGCGTCCGCTGCACATCTGTCCCGTTTCGTGCAGGACCGTCAGGACGTCATCATTAACCGCATGTGTTCAGCTGCACCCTTCCGAGGTCAAGACCCTCGGAGACCTCCTCTTCATCGCTACTCTCTCCTTTTTTTTGTTGTAAATACGTCACACACACACACACGTCAAGACGAACTCTGAACCGGCTGCTCACACACCGCGGTGTTTTTTTGGGGGATTCTCATCTCGAAAAAGAGTTTCCTTCTGGACGAGTCTTCAAATTTCATGTTTTCCAACTCTGAAACTGATTTATTGTTTGATTGTAAGTGTGACTGTGTGTGTTTTTTTTAGTTTGTTCTCATTAGGAGAGTGTTTTTTTTTAAATATTGATTAACTACACCAGCAAAGAGATTATGGTGTGACACAGGAATCAGTTCTATCTATAACCCCCGAGGTGTGGATTTCATTCATTTTCAGGTTTGAGTGAATCAGTTCAAACCTCCAGTGTGTCTCATTCTAGAGTTATTCGCCAGTAAACAGTGTTAGACAAGTTAACTGAAGTTATATCACATGATTATCACAACAAGGATAGTGTTTTAATGAAGGAGAAATAAGTATTGATCTTCCCAGCTTTTTCCTCCCTTAATCATAGCAAAAATGACAAATATGCCTAAATACATGTTGGGACTGATGTGTTTCGTCAAAGTCGCTCACTGCCTCCTCCTTGTGTCGTGTTAGTCGCGTGTTTATGTCCTGAAGGTGTTACCAAAGGTTGCAACAAGAAGAAGAGAACATGATCACTGAAATAGAAGTGGGCAAAAAACACTGCACCTGGGGTTTCACCGCAAATTGCAAAAACATTTCCCTTGTAAGGTGGTCATAAAAAAATCTGAACAATCTGGGTAGTCTCAGAGCGGATTCAGTCCCAAATGTTTGCCTTTTGTAGCCAATTAGGCCTCAGGTTTTTATAAACAAACTCTAAAACTGTTATTGCAATGAACACTAAACCCCAGGTCTGGAGGATTTTGTCCATTCCTACACTTTTTTTATGTTACATGAAGAAGAAAACGATTCTAGAGATGTGAATGTACATATGTTTTTTCCCTTAAGAGGGCCAACTGTACAGTATGTGACAGACTATTTGTGTGTTTGTTTAAGG